CAGCCCCTCGTGGGTGCTGACCCCGGGGGTCCACTGTCCCTCCCCCCAACCCAGACCTGCCCAAAGCACTGGGACTGGATCAGCGAGAAACGTGGACGTGCCTGGGGAGGTGGGAGACCTCCTGAGGCGGAGAAACGTGGGATTAGGGGTGGGATGGAGCCATCAGGATGTTCCTCCCGGGTTCCCGACCATCTGCCGCAGAGGGCAGGGCTGGGTGTCCCTTATCCGAGATCCGCATCCTCCAGATCCTGGATGTCCCTTATCCGAGATCCCCATCCTCCAGATCCTGGATGTCCCTTATCCGAGATCCGCATCCTCCAGATCCTAGATGTCCCTTATCCAAGATCCGCATCCCTCAGACCCCGGCGCTGTACCCCCCGCTCCTCCTGTCCAGCTGTTCCGATGAGTTCATGTAAATAGGATTTTGTATTTTCTCTGGACATTGCTAATAAATTGTTGCAAATTCGTCATTGTTGTGAGGTCTTGGTGCCAAGGGATGGTGGGGTTATGCAGCCGGTGCTCCATCCCCTTGAAACAGAAAACATGGACAAGACGGTGGCACGCTGTGACGTTTTAATGGGGACGGGGCTGTCCCTCCTCTAGTGACACTGAAGGAATGTCCTGGGCTGTGGCTGAAGTGGCCACAAGATTAAACACCAATTCGGGGGAGTAAGCGAGGCACCTGCTCCCAGGGCATCAAATTGGGGAATGGTTTGGGTGGGAAGGGACCTTAAAGCCCACCCAGTGCCACCCCCTGCCATGGGCAGGGACACCTCCCACTAGCCCAGGTTGCCCAAAGCCTCATCCAGCCTGGCCTTGAACCCCTCCAGGGATGGGGCATCCACAGCTTCTCTGGGCACCCTGGGCCACTGCCTCACCCCCCGCCCAGGAAAACATTTCTTCCTCACATCTCATCTCCATCTCCCCTCTTGCAGCTTCAAACCGCATCTTCTGTAGCTCTGGAGACCAACCTGGCACATGGAGCTTTCTCTAGAGTCAATGGGAAAAAGAAACGGGAAAAAGAAATGGGAAAAAGAAATGCCTCTGGAGAGCGATTCATCGGCCCTGAATTAATGCCGGCACGGCTAGATGAAAACTCATCTCTCCCTCCACCAGCCGATCCCTGATGTCTGATGAGAACAAATCCCAGCAGCAGCATCTCATTGCGCCAGGTCTCTGCTCTTTGGAAGGAGCTGTGCCCAAAGGCCGGTGGGAGATTTGTTTCCTAAGACGTGCTGGGATGGGATTTCCTGCCCACGGTTGGATTTTCTGCAGCAAGAACATTTTTTTGCCCCGTGTTTCCCTGGGTGATGCTCCACTGTGGGACAACATTTGTGGAAAAATAACTGGAGTGGAGCATCGCCACGCAAACAATGAGGTGGCCACGAGCATTCACCCAAGGCATCATTAGCTGCTCCTGTAATTACCGCAAACGGGATGAAAGCCGGATGATTCAGTCAAATTTCAACACTTGGCTCTTGAGGAACGAGGGAAAAATCCACTCGGCTCAATCCAAGTGGGACCCCTTGGTGGCAGGATGCGGGGACGTGGGGCGCAGGAGGGGACGAGGATGCTCACGGGGTGCGAGGGGTGCTGGACGGGGCCGCGCTGTTTCCCGTGCCCCCAACAAACAGGATTTTTAGGACCCCAAACACAGCCAGGGAGAGCCAGCGGGACCCTGAACCCCTGGTTCCACAGCCTGGAGAAGGGGGAATCGTTATTTCCTTTTCCTTTTCTTTCTGCTTCCTTCCCGTCCGTGCTGGAGGTGTTTCGAGGAAGGACGGATTCTCGGTGCCAACGCTGCACAGGCCGTGCTGCGGTGGGGGACCCCTGCCCATCCCAGCCGATCCCAACTGATCCCTGCCCATCCCAGCCCATCGCAACTGATCCCAGCTCATTCCAGCCAATCCCAGATGATCCCTGCCCATCCCCGCTGGTCCTGCCGATCCCTGCCCATCCTTACCAATCCCAGCCCATCCCAGCCGATCCCTGCCC